GGAGCGACACGTTCTCGGACAGGGAGATGAATCGGGAAATTTTTATTACGAATCATAGTTGAAGAATAAATAATTTTTAACAATAAACATATAGAGTGGTTTACTTAAATCGAACATCTTAATTATTTCACTTGTTTTTGATGATACGGAAAAAATATCCAAGGAAAAAGTCGTACCGTTCGAAGGGACTTATGATGACACAAAATTTTTTTTCAAGGCTATCTTATTTTGAGAAATTTTAAGGCCAAGATAATTTTTTTAAATACAATAACATATTTTTGTTTGCTCGATTTTATAGCCAACATCGATAGTTCAGCGACCTATGACAACATGACCTTTAAACGATCTTGAACATTGGAATTACGTATGTTTGAGGAAAATAGAAAAGTAAGCTTTAAGTCATAAGAAATTGACCGATCATAGTCGAGTATAAGAAGGAGGATCGATCGTGACTGATCAATTTTTTACTGCTTAACGTTTACTGCACTTATTGTTTTGCTTAAAGCAAATGTCTTTGGGTGGCGAATATAGAATGAAAAATCAGCACTTAAGCGGAAATAAAGAAGAAGACCGTCTAATGCGTGAAGAGCGAGATGTTCGGATTACATAACGTATAGCTCAGGGGTGAAAGTCGCGAATCACTTCGCTCCTTATTTCGTTCACAAAGCCGCACACCATCGCGCAGAGTCGTATTCTCCGACATTCACCGCTCGTTACATACAAACGTGTTCCGAATAAGATCTAAGGTTGCCAATGTGACACCCGACACCCTTGAACCCGTGTAACACTTGGAAGGTGTCCGCGGGTCCTCCGTCAGAGTCAGTATTACGAGGTAGTGAACATCTAAAGCGAAGTGGGTCTTCGCGCCGCAGAGCGTGCGAGAAAGAGTGCAGGAGGGTCAATGGGAGGGGGGGAGGGAGAGGCGGCTATTCGAACAAGTTAGACTCGATACACACAGGTGGATCATCGGAGCCGTCATCCGAGACCTTCTCCAACTCGAGCGATGAAGCGAAGAATACGTATAATCCTCGCGGTGAATGAAAAGGTCCGCAATTTTTGGTCCTTTTCTTCTCGCAACAAGCACACCACCGCGTCCGGCCCGTCTTTTGGCCCTGGTAGCGGAAGACAATACCGGTGCGACAAGGATGAAGGTGCGCTTGCGAATAGTGCTTGTGAGAGAATACCGCTCGGGCGATCAGGTTTGATTGTGTCTAAAATTACAAAATACACAAGATGGGATAACTACATCTCTTGTAACGATGACGAGTGATTAATAATAAGAATAGTTTTTTACGGACCCTTTAGCTACAAAAATAGGCCTAATAAGAATACAAAAGAAAAGCATCGTAATCGACGTTACATTAAAAAATAAATTAGAAATTAATAGTGAAATAATAAACTAGAGTAAATATCAGCAATATGCAAAAACAGAAGGAAAAAGAAATATATGAATTAGTTAGTAGTCGAGTACCGCGAAAGATGGTAGTAAGAAAATTTTTCATGATTGACATTCCATTGAAAAAGTCCATCTTAGACGAGCACTCGTTGCATATCTCAATTAATATAATTATGTATGTATGTTTAGAATGGATAATTGATTTATATAAAATCGTAAATATTTATTGGGTAGATATCCCGAGTCGAAATTTTGATGTTCTTAAAGAGCTTGCAACTATTTAGATGGCATATAGAAATGGCATATAGAAAATATTAATGAAAACCTTCGACGATACATTGATGTATTTATTAATGATACATTTATTAACTTTGCCCCGAAACTTTAATTCTACAAATTTAATTTTAATATTATCTTGAACAGCTACCTACCTCGATGTTAAAACAGCGGAAACGGGAATCGAAGACATCATCAAGGTCAAAGTGGAGATAAATGATACTACTGGTACTAAAATTAAATCTATTTCGCTATCTTAGCTCCTACTGCGTTGCAGAGTTAAAAATTTGACACAAGGTCACAGAAAACTTCAACTCGCTTAGAGACACTCAGCATCACACTTGTGCAAAATTCACCGAATTATTTTTCGCCGTTGTAATGCGATGCAGATGATCCCAGCAATTCGTGTGGAATTTTTAATTCCGCGCATTCCTCGAAAAGCTGGATATTTTATTCATGAAGGACTTTATCCCACATATAATCGATCGATCAATTTCGCCGCGACTTGGGAGAAGCAGGCGCGAGATGGCTCGGACGGTGATGCTTGTTAAATTTAGAAATTTCGCACGACAGCATTAGAGCCAGGGCGATTTTTGTTGGCCATTTTGCGGTTATAAGTCTCATCTTTCGCTGTTTTCTGACCTGCGCTAGGCTTTGACTTTCTGCAAGCTATAACCCGAAAGTTCCCCGCCGTTTCGGCCTCACAGCTTGTTAGACACATGCGAGGGGCGATTTGGACAGATACGCCCACCGTTTAATAAGTTAATTATATTTTACGAGTTCGCGGTCATATTATAGCGAAATAGAATTTCACGGGAGAAGCGAGGGGCGCGCGCAGCACCGGCAGTGTCATCGGCGCTCGTTACGGCGCTGGTACTGTCACGATCGGCCGTAGTCCCCGCCATGAGTCGCGTACGGAATTAATGAACTACATAAAAAGGGAATGCCGTAAATTATTTTCCGTGAGAATTTATCGCATATAAACTTGCCGGCCGCGAAGGTAGCGGGACACTAATTCGATATTGGCGTATATTAAAATACTTAACGCAATAACGTTCGCGAGAGCCGAAGAATATCTGGCGCAACGCCCGGCATTTTTGCTCGTAAAGATATTTTTTATTTGACGCCGAATCGACTAGCGGCCCAGCAGCGTAGGGCCGTGCATTCGATGGAAATTTATGCGAGGGCCCCGCCCTCGCAGAGAGGCCGAGAGAGAGAACTCGGTCGACGTATACGGGCGCCAGCTCGCAGACCCTATCTGAGCCCTTTACGAGCGTCCAATTGCCTCCCTTTCGTCCAAGTCGACGACGCTATACAAAAATCGCAGGTTGCCGGCCGCTCCAGGAACCAACCAGCGCTAGAGAGAGCGGCGCGCGATCTCGCAGGGCGACTCGCAGAGCGACTCGCGAGGAGCAGCGCCGAAACCAATCAACCGTGCGAAACGAGGACCCAGCTCGTCGCTAAAATCCGAACATCTTCGCCCGGTAACGAGGGTTGAGAGGGCTTAATTAAACGTCCGGGAGGACGGGAACGAACAGAGTCGTGTGTGTATATGCAACAAGGTGATCCAAAGTAGAGCGAAACGGTATCAGCGATAAGTCGTAAGGCGGCAAGTCGCGTCGGCGAGCGTCGCTTCAGCACAGCAACGCTCGATATCTGCCGCGGAAACGATGTTTCATTAACTCTGGTTGACAGGTGCCGATTGCCTACTGACCCTTGGCCTTACGTGAAACAAGAGAAGGCCCTCTCTCTCCCTCTCCATCTCGCTCATTCTTTCCCTTTCTCTCTCTCTCTCTCTCTCTCTCTCTCTGCCTCTCCCTCTATCTCTTTCTCCTCCCTATTCCTTCAACATGGTTCGATAAGCAACGCCGTTTTTGGAAGGCAGCCCGTTTGTGTACGAAACGGCCATCGTTGCACGCCTTCTCGCCGCGCGGCTCAGCTCGGCGCGGCTCCGAGGCGCGCGGCGTCCCGTGGGCCCCGAGCCCGGGCGGGCCCGCAAAAATGACTGCCAAAAAAGGCCCAACTTCATGAAGTCGGACCGTCACTCATCGCGGCGAATTGGCTTCCACAACGCAACAATGTAACGCGATGTGTGCATAACGATGCACCGCTCTCACACACGCATACTGACGCGCGGCTCGCACACGCACGCGGATTGAACGAGGCGAGCACGTGGTGCGCCCACACGTGTGCGCGCACCTACACTCGCGCGCGCCCAAGTGTGTGCGCACGACGACCGTCGAGCACACACCACCCTGCTCTCTCGCTCTGTCTTTCCCTCTCTCGCGCGCTCTCGCGCGATCGGGTCCGCACGGGAGTAAAGGTTTTACCGATGGCGTACGCCTATACGCACGTACCATGTAGGCAGAGGTTCCCACACCGCAGGCCATGATTTATTGGCCTGCCACTCGCCAGACCTGCTGTCATCATCGTCCCATGGTTGGTCCATGATACAGCGCGCCGTGTCGTATATAACTTCCCTCTATGCACGATCTTCGCGTCATATCGGCTCCTTCTTTCCTCGCGCCCCGTTGATACAGGAAGGCCGTTCGCCGCGCCGCGCCGTTCCGCCCCCCTGCGCCCCCTCCTCACTGTAGACCGTCCACCTTGTTTTACCTTAACCAGCCGATACCCACCGCCGTACGAAGCCGACAATCACCTTCTTTCTCATCGAGAAGACGTTGCACGCCGCGTGGGCGGGAGGTGCGAATTTCGCAAACTCGATCTGAGTATCGTTAGCGGCCCCGCTGGTACCTCGGAGTCCCCCCCCCCCCCCCNNNCCCCCCCCCCCCCCGGCCGATCTCACCCCGGCGGTGATCTCGTGACGCGTCTATGCGAGGTAAGAGAAAAATGACGGGCCGAAATGAGGTGATTAAGGAGGATGCGTTTATTTCAGGAGTGAGAGGTCGTTGCATCCTCCGACGAACGTGCGCGCGCGCCTTTCGCTCCTGCGACCGGCGCGCTCAGCGCGTCGGGAACAACGCGGTTCCCACCGCGAAGTTGAAGAAAAGTAAAGAACCGACGGATCAAACGAACGGAGCCGCGAATTCCCCACGGGCGTCGGACGGAATCTGAATTTCCGCGCGATTCCCGGGGGGGCGCGCGCCTATCGAATTCGCGCGCACGGGCTCACGGATACGCGCACGGCGAAAGGGTAACAAGCCCGTCGCACGGGGTCAGGCGGGACAGGAAGGTGAGTAGGCGAGGTGGATGAGAAGGAGGAGGAGGAGGAGAAAGATGACGAGGGCACGGACAGAGAAGGCGCGGACGGGACGAAGGAAGAGGAGGGTTTCCTCCAGAACACGGGGGGCGAACGCGAAGTCGTCCGATTAGGAAGCGAGAGGGGTTACACTTTGTTTCGTCGGCCGCCGGCGTGGTTTCCCAAGCGGCGGCGGCGGCGGCGGCAGCGGCGGTGGTGGCGGCGGCAGTTCGCTCGCTCGTTCGGCACACAGTCGAACTCCTTCGCCACTGGACGACGGACGTCGTCGTCGTCGCCGTCACCATCGTCGTCGTCGTCCTCGTCGTCACCGTAGCTGTCACCGTCGTCATCCACGAGACCGTCATGTCGCACCTCATCATCGGCATCCTGATGATCCTCGCGTCGATCGCGCGTGGCTGCCCGTTCTGCGCCAGGCAGTTGTTGCAGCAACTGCAACAGCAGCAGCAATCGCAGCAGCAACAGGAATCGTACCGGGCGATCGGCAGCCTGAGACCGTTCGGCGCCGACAAGCCGACCCGCGTCCAGGAGTTCAACCGGACCGGCGTGCTGCACCCCGAGTACCAGATACCGGCGACCATCAGACCCGGCAACGTGTCTCAGTGAGTATTCGGCAGATCGCTGTTACGTTGCCGCGAAGATTCTCGTACTCGTGATGTTTCTGCGACAGCCTCGATTTTAGATTAAGACGGTAGCGAGAGAGAGAGAGAGAGTCGGATGCCGCCCTACGTTTTATTGGCGGCGGTGTTCGCGCTCCTCGTCCGCCGCGTTTAATTATCCGAGAAAAGTGCTGGCACGTTTAGCCCGGATAATTAAGACATCGTCGCAGTCGCATAGTATGTCCGATCGAGCGTATGATGTTTGCGTATGACGTTATTGTCGACGAAGATTCAATGGCACGCCTTCGACTTTCCGGACGTTTTAACATTTTAATTTTCCGACGTTTTAACGTTTCAACGGCGGAACGAATCGTGGTACTTGAACGAATTACGTTTTGCTCGCGAGAGCGAGAAGTGTATGGATCCAGTTGGGAATTGAATCTCGATCGATGCGATGTGGACTCGCTTACGAATGATCGGTCCGTTCGCTTTTCTCACAGATTTTCCCTTTTTTTTATTCAAGATTCGGCGCGCCGGCGCGTTATTGTCGTCCAAAGTGCCGCTTGGACCGCATGACCCAACGTTCGAGTTCCTCTCGCGGGCTTCCCAGTACTTTATTCAATATTTGACATTTTAATATTCTTTAACTTGTATTTTAATTATACGCAATGCTGTTTGTATTAATTTTGTCGAATTCCACAGTCCATCGTCATCCTGACGGACGAACTGTTTACGAAGCGTATTAAGCTCTACGGCATCGCGACTTTATTAGTTTGAAATTTCACATTTGAAGTAGTCGACAATTACACCGTCGCGCGATCGCCGCGGATTTGCAGAAGGAAAAGATCCGGCGGCGGTTTAATTGCATTTCGCTTCCGATAAATCGCCGCGCGGCAGAATTGGCACGCGCAATTATAGCCGAGCGAGCCGCGCGCGTATGCCTTTAGGCGGCGCGAAATATTTAAGCAACTATTTTTGAGTGTGTAAATTGTTTGCTCGATACGCACAACGGGGGGAACCGCGAACGTTTACAGGAACGTCACGCACCCCGTGCCGCGTATCGTCAACCACACAGCGAACGCTCGTGCACGTAATCCGATGCACATTTTGCTCGTGCTTTGTACTCGCGCGATTCGATACATTCGACCTATATCGCGTGGCTACATAGCCCGGCTTTTTCGCTCGTTCGCGGCACGCCGGATAACGGCGAGATGTAACGTTGATGCGCGTTACGCGGTCAAGGCAGCAGATGCGATTCGTCGCGACGACACACGTGTCGCAAAAGTCGCGCTCCGGCCAACCGCTTCGACGGGAAAGTACTCCCATTGACAAATTTTCCCCGCCACTTCCACAGCTTCGACGGAAGATTTTATCGTTGAAAAATGTCCCCCGTTGTTTCCCGTCGTTTTAACGGAGAAATTTTCCCGTCGAAAATTTCCAACCGCAATTTCCGTCGTGTTGAGAAATGTTTCTTATAAAAAAAAAAAAAAAATCTCCACCGCTATTTTCGTCAATTTAATAGGAGATCTTTCCATTGAGAAATTTCTACCGCTATTCTCATCGTTTTGACGAGATACTTCCCGTTAAAAAAGTGTTCGCCGTTCTTTCATCGTTCCGGCATAAAATTTTCCTATTAAATTTCTTATTTTCTTATTACCATTCTTATTTATTATCCCGCCGGCGAGGTTACGGACGCCAAGTGGAAAAATGTCGCGATAATCAGTTCGACGGTTGAATTTGCACGGCTGGAGGGGAAAAAACGCGGGTTTTAACTTTGAATTTCCCCACGTCTGACAATTACTCGAAATTTGCTCGAACGATAAGGGAAAGCGAAGGCCATGCCGAGCGTCGCTCGCGATGGAGGTGGATTGCCTTCGTTTTCCCTTGCGCCCTTACAATACGCACGCGGCGTCTAATGGTCCGATCCGTCGCGACGTTACGCGTCATAAAGTCCTCCTATCAGATGGTTTCCACGAAACTCCGGCTGAGACCGGGGTGCGGAATTACACCCCTCCATTCGTGGCCTGCATGCCTCAATTTTACGACGACCAGGTATTTATATAGCTGATCGGGTTGGTCGTCATCGACGAGGAAATCTCCGATGAAGCCTTCACCGAAATCACGAATATCGAAGCAACGTCGGGACGGGAAGTCCGGAGGGAGAAGTGCGCGTCATTGTTCCTAGATTTCACTCGCGTGAGGGTAGAGGTACTTCACCCCGACAACAACGTGCGACCACGTCCGTTGAACTTCACCGGGCCATCATTAATAGACGCTTCTTTCGCGGTCTTCGCGCTTCGGATAGCTGCACGCGCGCGGACGCTCTATTCGAAGGTCACGACACCGGCTCTACGATCACCGGTGTACTACGTGCCGTGAATTCTGACGTGCCGCGAGATCTGTTGTCATCTATTCAATTTGGTCTTCGAGTTAGCACCGCGAGTCCATCGTCGACTTACTGCCGACGTTTCGCCCGACCATCTCGGTTCGTTTCTTCGGGGCGAGAAACGGCCCGAAACTGAAATATTCACAAAACGTCAGCGACAGGCGCACGAAGAACGCGGTGCTAACTCGAAGATCAAATTGAATATTTACCCGAACCGGGAAAGTCTAAAATATCATCCGCTGCCATCAATTTCTATCGTTGAACGGCGTCTTTTGCATAAAACGTCACACGCCGCCGGAAGCGACGACCCGTGGAGTATCGACCTTCGTTCCATTTTGTCCGTCATCGATCCCACCACCTAGAGATCCAGCCTCGTTTCTATATCTTCGAAATTTCGGAAAAAGACCGTTTTCCACATTTTCCGGCGTATTTCTTTGATTGTAGTCCCAGGGGTACAAAAATTCATTTAGAAAAATTCAGGTATGCTTAATTAAAACTTGCCACGGGTTTTCTTCCCATTTTTTTCATACGATTATAAAACTAACATGTACTGCCTGGGTGAGAGATAAAAACAATTGGCGGAAAACGGGGGAAAAAGTGGGTTGCTTCGAAACCTGAAAAACCGTACTCGTTTGAGCGACTCCGACGTGTCTCCGTGCTCGTTCCTCCGTGTCGACGTTACCCGTCACCTTTGCCCGTGGTCCTCACCTGTCCGCAGCTTCCCCTGCGAGCTCGCTCTTCTCGCGATGCCGGAGCGTCGCGACGCCACGCGCCGTAAAACGCCCTACCTATCTCGGTCGCGACTTTCCACGAAACTCCACGCGGCAGAGCCGCGCGACAAGAGGAGAGACGGACGGAGGACGGGAGAGAGGGACGGGGGCGGGAGCGAGTAGACCGACTAACAGGATCAATTCGGGACTCCCTCCGCCGCTCTCTTTCTCTCTTGCGCGCTCAGGACGACTCCGCGATGCCGGATTTAGACCACGGGGGTCGTGGCTGTGCGACCCCAGACGCCGCGACGCCGGCATTGTGTCCCGACGCTAATTTTACAATAGCTGTCTCACCGCCAGACGCGAACGAGAAGAGCACGTGCGCCGACGACGACGACGACGATGACGCTCGGAAGCCAACGGGCTGAACCGCGCGCGTCGTCGACATCGACGGAAAAGAAAAGAAAAAATGCGACGCTCTCGAGACGGCGTGAAGAAGAGCGCGAGAGGGAAAGCGGGGGCGGTGGGGAAAAAGAGCGACGTCGTTGAGACCGCGTGCGACTTAACCGGTGTAACTTTTGAGAAGAAGACTGAGAGAGAGAGAGAGAGAGAGAGAGAGAGAGAGAGAAGTGAAAGGACAGGGTGGGCGTAGAGTCATCATTCCTGGATCATAAGAAAAAAATACATAATCTCTAGACTCTCACTAGGTCTAGGGTCACTAGGAATTTTCGGTCGCACGCGTATGGGCTGAGTTCCAAACACAACATTTACACATGACTTCAACAATGCTTTCCACTTCCAGCTAGAGTATTTCGGCTCGGGTATATCGTATTTAAGTATTTTTGTATTATGACTGACGGTTTGGAGAAGAACATCTCACAAGTCACATTAGGTGCAATAATAATATATACAAATATACGTTACTGGTCGATCAACTGATATATTGTATGGATAGTGTGAGAAAGGGAATCACAGGAAAAGTGCAGTTGGATATTTTAGATGTTTTAAACAACAGCTTTGTAGCTAGTATTATCATCTGGTTCATAAAGGAAATTAAGACTACAAATCTAAATTATTAATTGCATTATCGCAGAAATTCGTGGACTCACTACGCACGCAAAAAGTAAAAAGCTATACACAGAACACTGACATTCCAATAGATCACTTTTCGTGAAGAAAACCGTGATGAAATATTTATTTATTAGATCTTTTAGTGATGTCAGTTCCAAATATTCAGATATCTCGGATGTTTCTCGGAAGTTATCCGGGTATCGAGATATCTGAGTATCCGATTATTTATTTCTACTGTTATTTCTCTTTATTTATTAAAGGCAATTATGAAGGTAATGTCAAGAAAAAGTGCTTTGCGAAATATTTAGATTTCACGTCTAAATACGGTGAAATAAAATATAAACTGATAAAACGTTCGCTTCTTTCCTAAAAAAAGAAAAAAATTTATCGGAATCATATATGTTTCCCTTGAGCGTTCACATTTCGTTGATCTTACCTTAAGATTTTATACGCGGATTTACGAGAATATATTTATGTAAAGGAAACCGTGATTTCGTCCACAGAAATGTTTTAGTTTAGTTCCGTGTGCCCGGTTATTCTGGGATAGAATCCCGTAGTACGGTTACCCCGCGAGTTTGGGTGTACTCAGGTACAGAATTTATCCTAACAGCACTAGATCTAACGGCACGGTGAATTCGATGTGCGGACGTGTGCGCGTGTATACATGTGTTGTTGCGTGACTTCAGGATCGCCGGGACTACCGGGTAATTATGTCGATTACGATATGCAATATCCGCAACGGCGTTCCCCGTCGGATTAACGCTGCTGATCGACGACGATTATGATAACGAGAGACTTGCGAGTTATGCGCGCCGGGGTTAACGTCGATAAGTCGGCGGCGACGATTTTTACGACAGCGTTCAGCATCGCGAAGAATGCATCGGATATGGAATCGTGCGCGCTTCAATCCCCGAGTCGGGTTTTGATGCTACCTTGACGCTCTTAAGGACAGTTTGTATCTGCATAGATGGCCTATAGACTAATAAAAACCTATTTTGACGATACACTGACGCTTATTAACTTCTCCCCGGAACCGCAATGAATTTTGCATATGAATTTTCACGCTATTTTGAACAACCTTTTGACGTCTTGACTATTTGGACGTTGAAACAGCCAAAATATAAATCTTAAAACGTCATCAGAGTCAAAGTAGAAAAAAATTAATATCAATTCAAAATTCGTATTCTTATACATAAACAAGAATATATAATCTTATGGAAAGATAAAAATTGTTTACAAGCAAAAATTCTATAATCAAAGATAATTAAATCAAAGAAAATATAACGATATCTTCAAACGAAGAATTGTATCGGTTTGAAGATATCGTTCTTTCCATATCCAATATTTGTTCTTCTCGATTTATAAAAGTTATTCTTGAATAATAAGAATATCATATTTTTAGTAGAATTATATACAATTTCTTTGTGTAAATAAGTTTTATTTTCATATAAGATTATATTCTTGTTTATATATGAGGATATTAGTCTTGAATTGATACTCATTTTTTTTCCATAGGAGTAAATTATATTATTAGAATTAAAATTTGTTTTAGAATCTTCTATTTTGTTGTCTTAGCTCCTATTGTGTAGAATCAAAGGCTTAAAGTAGGGCCAGAATTTCTTTCGTTAAAGGCGTGATATGAACATATAGACACATGTAGTGCTATCGGCATAATCCGGGTGATTCGATACCCAGGTAATACCCGCGGGCTTCGATATCCGAGTCTTTTTTGTAATATCCGGATGTCCGGGTACACACATTCGCAGATATTACTCGAGTATTCGAATACTTGTATTCACAGATAATATCCCGGTAATCAGAAGGCAGTAACGGAGTAAATAGTTACGAATCTGCAGTACATTCTTTTGTTATTTGTTATCATTCGAAAAATTAATAATTGTAACATTGGAGATTAATAGTATATTTACCTGAATTTAAATATATCCAGACGGTCGGAGTCGAAAGCTAGACAACGGATAACTAGACAAGCTAGACAAAGGATATTGAAAGAAAACAATGTTACATTCAAATAAAAGAATTACTCCAATACTCTTAGCAAATATTCCCTTTAATGTAGCATATTTTCCTTTCGGTGTAGAAATTTCGTTTCCTTCAACGAAAATACATTCGGTTTCATTCATTGTCACGTTAATTCAACGAATCTTTCTCTCCGTGCGGCAGCCGTCGAAATGAGCGATAGAGATACAAGTAGACGCGAGAATCTGTGCGAATATTGGAATGTTTGAAAAATTGCGACAAAAAGTAAGCGAGAGATACTCGGACGGATGCACTTCGTCGCGTCGCGAAACCGCGCGACGTTAGCATACGTTCGATATGCCGCGAACACCAATATCAAACTGGATGCAGATGAAATTTTTGCAGGTTCTATTACCTGAGTCCACGAGAAGGCCCCCCTCTCACGTTACTCGTTAGCCCGTGCAGCGGCCCGATCTCATGGACGGTCAGTTACGTGGAGCCGCCCGAAAACGATCAGGAAGCGGAAGGAATAAAGTGTACGTGAAATCCTGCTCGCTCTTGATAGCCGCCGGCTATAAGTCCTGGCAAACAGTTCGCCGGCATTTTATCGTTTTGTTTGGTATTAGCGATTTATGTAAATATTTAGCGAGGCGGCGGAGTCGCCTCCTATATTGGCCAATCTCCTCTCCCGTTGATTTATAATCGCGAGAGAACCGTTCGAGAACCGTCGGCAAATATTTAGCTTCCGAGAGTAGAGTCTTGATTTTTTACGCGGACGCGCCATTCGTACGTCGCTCATCTGATCGATAGCCTGTTCGATATTTCCAAAGCGCCAATGGCCAACGTTGTTATCGTTACTTTGTGAGAACTTGCGATCAACCTCTCGTTTTTCTTTTTTCCTCTTCCTTTTCTTGCGTTTCTTATCTTTCGTTTCTTTTTATGGAAGACAAAACCACACGCGAGCTTTCGGTATCACGGAAAGAGAGTAACTCTTGAGTACGTCCGAGAGAGAGAGAGAGGAGGAGCGCAATATACTTAATAGAGTACTGTTCGTAATCACCTCGTGCACGATGAGCCTGAAATAATCGGGTACTCGTGTAATACGCGCTACGGGCTGGTTGAATGATTCCGAATCAATTTACCACGTAGCGCAAACGCGGTGGCCCGTGAAGACCCTGAAGCCGGGCTCACCTCTCTTCACGTACGAAGGCGCGGACGACCAAAATTTCACGATACCAAAGACGCGGGCCGGTCTTTACTGGTTCGAGATCAAGTCCGTGGAGTCGGTGGCGGGCAACGACGACTCGGCGAGGCGCTCGCCCGGCACCGTCCTCCTGTACGCGACGTCCACCTCCTTGGATCACGTGCCGGGCATTTACGCGAACGAGAAGGAGCACCGGCATCGCTCACTGAGGTTTCAGCAGCGACGGAGTAAGCGCCGGCTGACGGTATCCTGGAACAAAAGGTACCACCACCAACGCGAGTCCCCGCGCGGGAAAAAACGGTGCCGCCGCATCGATGGATCTGCTCGACGGCGATTGGGATCGATCTTGTTGATTCAATAGCAATGTCTCATCGAAACTAATACCGATGGGATATTGAGAGAGAAAGTGATATGTTTGTTTCGATCACATCTCCAGGAAGCGTCAAGTAGCGACAACACTAATCAATATTACATAATCGTCGTGATGTTTTGATATAAATATGATAATAAAAATACAACATGACATTGGTCAAAGGTGGAGTTGTCGAATCAACAATGTTATTGTAATATAACGTTACATCGTCGAGTGCGAGATTTAACTTTGATCTGACGTTGTCGTTACTTGTCGTAATGTTATAGTGTAAATATAACAATAACATTAGTTACTGATATATTTTTCCACTTAATAATTGTAATATAACACACGTTGCACGTAACAGTTGCATCGTTAAGTGAAAAATGATAAGAGACAATAATTTTAGTAATTGCTTTTCATAACTTTCCGCTGAACAATGTAAATGTAATATGATACACGAACATTACAGTTATATTACAGTTATATCGTCAAGTGGGAAATTGCAATTTTGATGTAACGTCTCATCGTTACTTATTGTTCACTCGGAATATTATTGAAACTAATACATCACACATTGTCTCAATATCTCAAGTACCAGTTTCGATGATACTGCTATCGAGTCAACAAGATTAACTCCAATTACGGCGCTGTCGGTCCATTCGATCGCCACACAACATTCCGTTTTCCGTGCGCGATTTTCCTCTTTCCCGCTTCCTCCTCTATCCCCCGCGAATGTTTCTCGGTGAAAATCCGAACGACGCGGCTCGCAATCCCGATACGGATTCCGATATTTAACGAGGTGTCGCGCGCATAATGAATAGCCGACTTCGTCGGCAAGGCGGATGAGAGTTTCTATAGACGTCCGGATGCCAAGAATTTAATTAGCGAGAATGCGCAAGCGAGAACACAGGTCCGAGTGTCGGCTGCGAGTGTCTCGTAATTATCTCTGGACGAGAGATGCTTTCCGACACCTTTCCTCCCCCCTCTCCGTCTTTCCTCATCGTTCGACGAATTTACAAAGCGCGAGAATCCCCTCCCTGTACTCTCCGGACGCGGCCGCGTCCCGCCACGATTTCCAGCCGAAACGTCTTTGTTTTTCCAGCCATGTGGATCCTCACCTGTCCAACTACTGTTTAGCCGTGACGTCCGGCACGCAGCCGCAGCCGTCGACGCTCTGCGCCGCTCGGAACATTCTTAAGACGCACCCGCACACCACGAGAACCGGCTCCTCCTCGAAGGAATACCATCATCGGGGCGTCCCGGAAGGGCTGCACTGTGTACGGCAGACCAAGCTGACGCTCCACAGAATGCGATACGACACTACGTACAACTTCACTCTATACGTGGTCGGTGTGCTCCACCTCCGTCATTATTCCGGTCGAATCGGTTGCTCGTAAAATCCTAGATTGCTCGATCGTTCGCTCGTTTGTTCGTTTGCGCAAGAAAAAAAGAAGGAAACATATATACACCCGCTGAGAGTCTGAAAACGTCGTAACGTTCATCCGACAGGTGAACACGCGGAACAACGTTTCCAATCGGGTCGCCACCGACACCATCAGGTTCAAGAAGCCGGAGCTGACGCTGCGAACCGGTCGTTACACCACGGCCAATCTACGGAAGACGGACGGTTTCGTGAACTTCCGCTATCGGCCGCCGGACAACACCTCGAGCGTTTTTCACATACTTCCCTGCGGCGGCGGCATCGTCAAGGCGAAATTGAGCGGTCCAGGAGTATTACGGGTAAACACGGTTAACACGTAGACGATCGGCGCGACTTTAAGCTGACGAGCGAATTTGTCGAATTTCGTCAATTAATTAGATAATTAATTGATGATCGATATTAGTCAATTAATTAATAATGCCGCGCTGTCCGAGTGGCGGCCGGTTGCGCCCCGTACATGGCGCGCTGCCGCCGAGCGTATTATTACTTATCCAAGTGTTCCTCGTGATCCGCGTCGATACGCATGTAAGCGTGTAACTATGTCGTGTAGGAGAAAGAGGTGGTGGGATATGCCTCATTACGTGTGCCTCCTCTGCCTCCCGGTAAGACGTACACGTTGCGTATATCGACCACACCGCAGGAACTGGTCCGAGTATCCACCATAAAAGTGCTCGCCACGCAGGAGTCGTCCACCATTTATCCGCAGGTACGTTAAAACGTTAGAAACGTTTGCAATAGTTTCTCTCATTCAGCCTTTATTCTTCTTTTTCCTCCAACTCTCGACAATTTTTGCACGCTAGACTGCTAGTGTATGTGTGACTACTGGCTCGTTATCACTTTTATTTTATCGCTGGTAAGTGTTTCCGCGTGTACGCATGCCGCGGGATCTTTAAAGATGAAAATCCTAGTCTTCTTATGGGAGAGTTGACTATACAATCTCACGACGCATGTTAGATTAGACTCCGGGAGTCTTTTCCCATAGCCAACTGAGTTGCCACGCTGAGGAAAAAAAATCCAAAAGATAACAAATATTTATTCGCAGTGCGTACTAGTGACATATTTACTAAAATTTAAGTTCCTTCATTTCAATAGAAATAAACAATTGCTTTCATGAAAAGCTACAGATTTTAGACAATGTATGTTTCCTCATTTGGAAACATTTTTTTTCAGCGTAGAAATATGTATATTAGCATAAATAAATATATATATTGTTAGTGTCACGGAGTAAATGTTATTTATCTTTTAGATATTTTCCCTCTCAGTGTATGCTTTATTTCACATACGAATTTACAAAGATCTGAGATTCATAGCTGTGCGCGAAGGAGTCATCGTGAGATCGATTACCCCGATGCCGGGTTAAAATTAATCCGAAGGGGGGGGGGGAGCACAGGTAGAATGTTTCTTTTTTTCTCTTTAACGCAGATACCGACGAAAAATCCGCCGCGGGAGTACCGGTCCTTGAGGACCTGTCACGAGGTAACGATAGGCGTGGAGCCGGCCGGCGCCGCCAAATACTGCATCCTGGTGAAGGAGTTGCGTAGCTCCTCGTCCTTGGCGAGTGTCACGACCGTTCCGGATCAGTGCGGGCTCCACCGGCGCAGACGGTCCGAGTATACGTTCGAGGTTTGTGAGGAGAAACGGAGCCCACCGAAGGATCGGGCGCTGCCGTTCACGCTGTCGAGGCTGCAGCCCGGCAAGGCTTACCTGCTGCAGATCACGGCGCAGCTGAAGGGTCAATCTTTGTCCTACCCGCTGCTGGGTGTGCGCACACGACGTTCCTGTGACACATGATCCACATGATTCCTATTGAACGAACTGCAGCGACTCGACGATAATCTGCACCGCTAGTGACTTTTTTTTAGACACCCCTCCCCAACTGTTACTGATTAAAAGAGAATTTATGACGCACGGAGGAAGATAATAATTCGGAGGGGCGACGGCAAATTTTACCCTGTCGCAGCAGGTAAGTAAATATACAGGGTGCTTCTTTAGTACCGTCCAATATTTCAGAAACAGAATTTCGAAGTCACCTTATGAAGATATAAACACGTGTTTGTACGAACTGTTTCTTTATAAAGTGACCTGAAAAATCACCGATAGTACTTATGAAACGCACTATATATTTATTTACTTGCTGCGATAACGTAAGATTTCGCCAGTTCCGTCAGATTATTTTTCCCCGTGCACACGAAGATGTATCTACGATGTCCGTGAAATTTGTCCATCTTCGCGCGAGGACGTTCTGACGCGAATCGGGTGCGTAGCTCGTTCATTTTTTGAGACTGACGCGAGAATAACTTCGAGTTTCGGCGGATGTTCGTCGAAGTAAGTAGATGACATCGAGACACGCTATACGTTTGGTACAAATCCGTTGTATCTCAAAATTTCGCCTCGCGAGCCAAGTACCAAGTATCGGTCGTGATCGCGATATTTGATATATGGTAGATATCTTGTGGATCTCTCGTTGATCTTGCTGCTCTCGATCGATCGTAGAAGAGAGGTGTATGTAGCTGATTGGAGAAGTGTTACCTTCGGGGATTACGTTCAGTCGCATTTCGAGGCACAGTCTAGTCTAGATTTTACGACAACGTACAATCGCGGCGTCCACGGTGGGCGCGGGGGGCGACCATACACACATCGATATATATTTTGCTATTTGTGTAATGTACATGTACATTCTTATATATATGTATATGCAAGGTATATCTGAACTCTACCGAATAAACTTACAGGATAAATTCTATGTTAAAAAGTAAATAAAAAAGTTTTAGTAGACATGCGTCCGCAAAAGCTTGGTTTTTGGGATATAGTCTTCGGAAGATTACAAGAAAATGTGTCGCGATAAACGAATTAAGAATACTAATATACTTTTCTTACGTTGGTATATTATTATATTATTATTGTTGCGAGTGAAATTATAAGAAACGTATTATTTCTCCTTGACATCATGGATGCTTACACTTTCGAGGAGCTTGCAGATGTGCATTTCACTCATGGGGCAGCAAATGGCAACGGAAGAGAAGCTGTACGAATCTATCTAACAAGATTGATGATGAAATATTTTTTTTTAACCGAGATTGCAGTTCAGAAATTAAGCGTTTTGAGAAACATGGGGTTATATTTACTGAGACTCTTTTACTTATTCTTTTTTAAAGAATCCATCGTGTAAGTTTGTCGGTAGAGTTCAGATATATCTTGTATATATACGATACGCCTTTTTACCTTGAATAAGTACATCGAGTATTTTTGTAACTTACACGGCGAGTGTACACGTACGGCGTGCGAACGTCAAAGCACGCTTGACACATTCGTAATAAAAGTTATAAGATTCGTCCCTGTGGCGCATAAACACACACACATACACACACACACTCACACTGTGGCCTTACTCCTTCCTTTAATCGTACGAATAAAAATATATACCAGAATGAGTTTTAACTGCAGTACAAAGTTGATAATATCATATATATCGTTTGTCCCGCGATAATTGGTTGCCGAATATTTTAATGCGCGATATCATCGATATTAATTTCTAACAAATAATTCGAGATTGCTACAATTAATTAATCTAATTTAATCATCAACAATTCGAAAATCGCTAATTCGATACTTCCGCCGAAGAAAATTCGGCTTTAAATAGATTTAAAAAATCTGTAATCAAAATATAGTGGAACACCCACGCTGTACAACACATCGCCCGATGTTATACGACGAATAATAAAAGTAGAGATAGTCTAATCGTAATTACCCTTCGTAATTCTTAGTGATCTAGTAGCTGAGTTCCAGTTTGATGAGTCTCAGGAGCTTGTCGCCGGGCGAATTTGGCGGTTCCGATTGCAGGAAGTAGGCCGCTCTCAAGAGATGAGCTAGTCTGTCTTCTCCGGGACAGGTCGCAAGCTCTCGCAGAGTGACTGCTGTGTAAAGCGCTAAACGCGCGCCGTGCGGGTCCAGGCGGGTCACAGTGTCCATAATGCGCTTGCACAAATCCAACTTGCGAGGGTCGCTCAGCGGTATCAGCTGTATCAGCGAGTGGCTCACGGACACGCAATGTTGATGACCGGGATGCAGGAGCACCGTCAGCCTAAAGAATGAATAAATTAATTCTGTTACTTTAGAGACGACGTACTCTCTACAAATTCCTCGGAGTGAAGTCTCGCTGAAAAGGAGTGAGGATTCACTCGAAGCGACGGTCGAAACAATCTGAGTAGAATTTCGCTCGAAGAAATTGAAGGATCAAGTGAGAAAACGGTCAAGACAGAGGCACGAGAGGTCGGGGCTGTTTTACCGTGACAGAAGATCGGAGAGGGTATGCGGGGTCGCCTTTCTCATGACTTCCGTCACTTCCTCCTCCAGTCTGTCCGTCAACTGCGCGACTTCCGCGGATGTGACTGTTCCAGGACACGCGTTGCAGGACCAATCGGTGTCCGGGTTCAAAGGATCGTTCGCCAGCATGAAGCCGTTTCTGCAGGGGCACCGCAAGCTGCCCAAGTGCGTGCCCAATTCCGTCGGGTCGGCGCAGCGTTCGCATCGGCAGGTAAAATATTTCGTGGCGAGGAGGTGCTCTCGTCTGGCCCGCGTGGACCAAAGCGCGTGCGTGTACATGGTACTCAGATGCTCTCCTCTGGGAAATAAAAGTAAGAAACTCTTCGCAAAAAATATAAAGATAGATCAAAATCAAGCCTAGAAAAAATCAACACTGAGGAAGAAAATACTTAAAAGATAAACAATATTTATTCGGTGGATACTAATAATATATTTATTTATGTACCAAAGCGCGGGTGTGTGGAAAACCGATATCAAAATATGAACGTACTTCTTGATGGACGTGATCGCGTTCACCGTGATACGTGGCCTGCCTTTGTCGTCAAGGCGGAAACAGTGTCGCGTGTTGGCCACGCAGGAGTGTTCCAGGAGGGACGCGTTCTCGTAGATCGCGAACGAGCCCTCCGGTGGCATGGTCTCGAGCGCGTTCACATCGATCAGACCGCAAATTTTCGGCAAGACGCTCATACAATCGGGCGCCATCGCCACGATCGGGCCGAGATGCTGACTTATGTTCATTACTTCGTCGTGCGCCTCTGTACCGGGTCCTCGCGAGTCCTCGTGACTCTGCAGATTGGTCAAGGACGTCCAGCGTTTCGACTTGGTGCGCCACAGTATCAGCATACGGATCACCAGCAGCACGTCGCATCTGCGGATCACGCAGGCTCGTGAATCGCGAGGTTTACGGCGAACAGGAAGGCGAATCCGACGTGGAAAAAGGGAGAAAAAATTACGCGGGGGAAATATAAGGAAGAAAAATATATATGTGATTCATCATTTTATACTATATAATACTATTTATAAAAGTAGACTTTTTCATTTCTTAAAAATTAATTTTCTCCATTATTTTATTATTATTCATCCTTCCATTTTAGAACAACATTTAGTTATAAATATTTGTCGATATTCGTATTTCAAATTGGTCGGTGTTCATTATACATTGTAGCCAATGAAAGGACTCGCACATCGCTTGAGGATGAACTTAAAACAATCTTAAATATAACATTCGACTATGAATACCGGTCTATATTTGACAATCCTCGACTTCGATCAGATAAGGAGCCAGACCAATATCAGCAAGAAATCAGAGATGTCCGGATTCTTACTCGAGGGGCTCTACCTGGGAATGATTCTAGCGCGTGCAAGAAGAGTGCATTCGGGTTCGTGTCTCTTTTTGTCGGTGAGGCAATCGGGCCTGCACACCGGCCAGCAGCACTTGCCGCATCTTACGTCAATCTCGGCGCATTGTCCGCCGCAGCCAACGCAAAGCCGTTGGTTCTGTGCGTGAATCGACGGGCCCCAGACCAAAGGTGCCTCCGAGAGGATCACGTCTCCCGGTACCAAGTCCCGAGTAGCCAGCAGGTGCCGTCCGAGCTGGGGATCGTGGCGGATCTCCCAGGCGCAGCACACGGGCCTGTGTCGCGGCCAGTCCCGCGACTGATGGCACTTGTCGCAGTAGAACTCGCGTTTGCAGTTGCCGCACTTCAGCGTGGCGTCCTTACCGCACACCGGACACACACCGTGACTTGCAGCGACAACCGTCTCCATGGGCGAAATTAATTAATTCCTGCGATTTTTCAGATTTCATTCGTCAACTTACTTCATTTTTCTGATTTTAATTTTTACGCGAATCTTTCAATTTTCAACTCTGTTATATAACTTTTCCGATTTTATTCCCGAGGACGATTCGATCCTTCGACTGCGCGATTGCAAGGAATTATTTGGTTTTGAATCGCGACGCATAAAAAAATTCGAAGCGTTTTCAAAGTGAAAACTCGGTGGAGTGTCACGGTCGGCGAAACTTCTCTCGCTGAGGCTTTTACTTAACACATTGACTCCTGTTAATTGCTCGGAAGCTTTACGGTAAATAACTATAAATTCACATCGGCATGTAACTTTTATCATTCAAACGCATCTATCTTCTACCTCGCTTCATTGAAACTTTCCATTGGCTACATAACCGATTTCTCAATAATTAATCAAATTACTTAATATTTTATATGTAATCAAATTATACCTTACACGTAGATCAACGTGGTGGTATCGTAACGCCGGTCGTCGATAATCATCACGGTATTCAACGTGTTAAAATACTTGCGTTGCTTTCGCTCGGAGAGTTAATGACGATCCTCGAGCGATGTAAGGCGTTCGCACGCGCGGGGAATTGCACGCTGTTAGATTTCTTCAATTTTTCGAACTGTGATCACACTGTGTCACGAAAACATCGTACACCGGCTACTAACTTTATCACACTGAACAACCGGCGCCTGTGCTAGCGCGGTGGTCGCGTTTAATTATAGGCCGGAGACGGCCGCATATACACGCTACTATTTCCGTACGGCGCAGGGAACGAGGATTTTTCTATGGACCGCGCATAGATCAGATATAGCAGCGCGTTCCACGTATTTACGCCCCGCATCTAAATCTAAAAAGAGTCCATTGATTACGGAGTACAGAATGATCTTATACGTGTATGGGAAGATCGTTGCTGTTCACTATCATAGTGATACTTGACAAGTTTGGACTTAATAGAGATATATCTCACGCCCGAGGGAGAAACGAAGCTACTTTTCGTCCAAAGATTTTTCTGAATCGGTCGGATTGACGATCTGTCATTGCTTCGAGGGAAATTAATGCTGGGTCCTAGATGGAAAGTTCTTGTTAATTTCGACTACCCAGATAATCGAGCATACGCCTGACCTAAAAATATTTGACCTACGGCAATATTTTTACCTGGATTTGTCATTGTAAAGAGATGCATTGCCTTATTAGGAAGACTCAGGACGCGGGAAACTTGTAAAGTATAACATGCTGTGAATATAACTTTTCTTCGCTCATTTTCAACATTTCTTCTTCACAACGTAACTTCAATCAAAACACAGTCTTACACATCTATGGAAAAGTGACGTAATCAATGGTCATTTGATGACCATTGATTACGTCACTTTTCCATAGATGTGTATGTAGCAATGACGCTACTACATAATTCTCGTAATGACATTTACTGGAATGGGACACGAACTTTTGCACTCATCCAATATTTGCGAATGTGCATAACCCGAGTACCCGGGATATCAAGATATCCGAATTATATTAACAGCATTGATAGAAAAAACGCACAGTGGTTTAGATAATATTTCGATTTATTATTAAACGTGCCTACATGATACAAATCAGGGGACAACACAATTTTTCATTATCACTTTATGACGTAATAAATATGTATGCTTTTATTTCTTCCCTTTCTTTTGCGTGTACGTGTGTGATGGGACTCTCTAATAATTATACACCTTACCTATAGGAGGAGATGGGGATTAATTTAACGATGTTCATCAGATTCGGTACACAGACTATCACAAAGTTGATTGCTGGTTCGGGTTCGTACATGGGTGTTTCTAAAATGATCACAGCCGCGAGCTGAACGACATAAGAGTAACGCGTTCCGAAAGCAAGTCCCCATTTTCCCCGTTATCAATTTGCTAGTTATCCGATTCTTTACAGTTCTTTAGAGACCGTTTTCTCCGAAAACGTCGTCGATAATCGCCGCGAATGCGTATGAAAAAGTGATTTTTAACGTTACGCCACGCTATCTCTCACCCTACGCACCTGATCCCATTCTATTCTCGCTTATACGTTTTGCTCAAACATCGATTTTAATTTCCGCCGCAAAGGTCGATACGTCGGAACTAGAAGAATCAGTATTCATCGTGTTCGAAATTGGGACACGAGCGACACGCGCCGATCTTGGATTTAATAAACTCCCCATTCCGTCTCCAATATGTACCGTAAAATTCGAAAATTACAATATATATATATATATATATATATATAATTTGTGAATATTACATATATAAATATAATTATAGTATTATATTTATAAATTATAATATATCAATATTTTTTTTATATAATTATAATATTATAATTATAGTACATATACATTTTTTATATATAAATATAATATTATAATTAAAAATCTTAATATATCATAATAATTTTTTTCATACATATTTATAATGTTACAATTATAGTTATATAATTGTACATATAATTTTTGAAATTTTCAAGAGCGTGCATCTCCCGGAACCACCGATCTTAATGTTATACCGGTGGTTCTAGCCGCCAAGTAGAGTTCAATTTTGCGAATTTTTGACGTTGTCCCCCTTCACCGAGGCCGACTGCTCGTTCCGATTCCGAGGCATCGACGAGGAAACACGGATATGCGCCTGACGCTTGTATGCAATTTAGAATGCACCCGGTACGTAGCATCATTTATAAAGTACGAGTCGCCCAATGATCATGAGAATGACACCATTGTTCATTTTTTTTTTCATTTTCTTTACACCTTATTATACAAATACAACGAAACACCGTTAATTCTTATATTTTTTTCGCGACATTGGGAATACGCGCGTGCACGTGCAAATATACGCACACATGTGTCCCCAATACGTACACGTGTGTCCCTAGGTATTCCACGAGGTGCGACGCGAGCGCGGCCGTGAACAATCGGCCAGTTCTCGCTAGTCGGCGGCGACGATTAGCCGAAGGGTTGTCGTACCTGAAACGGATAGGATGAACAAGATCGCGCGAATCACGCCCTACTCAGTGGGGTGCTACATCTGCTTAGTCAATTTTTGTCCACGACAATGTCGATGCGTTGTCGTTGCGCAGCTTTACTACCATACATTACAGCTGCGCAACGACGTCGTAACGATTAGTGCTGCTTTCGGGTACTATGATACCCGGATAATACCCGCGAATTTGGATATCCGAACTCCCACGTATTTACGTATTTATTCGAAAGTGAATTTCGGATAAAGAAATTCTCTGATACTGAGCTCGCAAGTCAATGAGAAACAATATTAATTCTACTAGTTGATAATTCCCAGCAATTTTTAATTTGATGAAACAATTTATATTAATGATTTTTTTTGTCAAGAAATAGCGACAAAAATCAGGAAAAAAATCGACAAAAACCAGGAAAAAAATTGCTGATATTTCTGTATTGAATTAAATGGCCAGTGCTTCGAACTGCTGTAAATAATTCAGGTCTACTGTCAAAATGGTTCATTTGCAGACATGTGCTTATTGATGAAAATTCATTGTTTTGGAGTCATTCGTTAATTTGTTGCTTTGTCCTTTATAAGAATCCGAAGTTTGTTAGTCTGATTTTGGGAAAATCCTTGTATATACACGTTAAGAAAATAGTAACAAATAAATAGTCACGAATCCGCAATATACTTTTGTTATGTTTGTTACTTTTCATCGTCCGAAAAATCAATAATTTGCAATGTCTGAAATTAACCGTACATTTCGTTACTCGGATAATCCCGAAAGATTCGAGTAGCCGGATGGTCGAAATTGACAGCACTAATAGCGATCATGAAATTGTCGTTAAAAGTTACCGAGTAGGCGTACAAGTAAAGCGATACTGTTCAATCGGAGACTTGGTACGCCGCCGACGCGACACCGGACGAATATTTGCGGGTCGCGCGTCACCGCCATCGTCGTCGTCGTCGTGTGTACACGCATATGTGTATCGATCATCGGTATGTCACTAACTCTGCGCTATGCATATATATATATATATATATTTATAATTATATATAAATATATATGTATATATTTATATATAATTATATGTAAAATGCATTACGAACTCGCCGCGCGGCTTGCAGCCACGCGTGACGGAGACACCGAAGCACATGCAAAACAACTCAAATTTAACGCAACGGTGCACGACTCCTCTTCTCGCCGGCTCTCTCTCTCTCTCTCTCTCTCTCTCTTTCTCATTCTCTGCCCCTCTCTCTCTCTCTCTCTCTCTGTCTCTTCTCTCCCTTCTCTGCCATAAATAGAATAAATTATTCCTCTCTATTTACAAATAGTACTTCCTCCAGGATGTTTGTGTATTTACGTAGGCCCGTATTCCCGCCGTGCGTTTAGCGCTAGCGCCGCTCACAGCCGGTTACAACGCGCCTCTCAGTCGTGCCGAACTTGATTTCGCCTCTTGAATGCCGCCTGTACTCTTCGCGACGCGGGGCGAAAGAGAAGTCTCGATGACGCTCTTTTCGGTTAAGTCGATTGTGCGGCACGACGCGCCTTGCGATTTCTCATCCCGGCCGGCTGGATGAATTGGACGTGAGCGTTAAACGTACGGTGAGCTATTGTTGTTACTAAATGTACAGCAGCTCTCGTCTGCCCCCGAGCTCGCGCGGATCTCTCGCGGCGATCGTTCGGCAGAACGGCGACGATCGAGCACTCCTCCGTCGTATCAAAATATATCAAAATGTCGCAACTGTAGCGATCGACGTTGCTCTCTCTCTCTCTCTTTCTCCCCCTGTTTCTCCAAGATGAAGAGGGGAAATCCGACGTAATGAATCACGTCGTTTCACGTTTTTATTCGTTGAAATCGCGAGAATGCGCTTTTTCACGCGGAACAGTCGCTTTCGTCGTGCCGGAACAAGGCTGCGTCCAATTGTCGTCATCGAGAGCAATGAAACGATCATCATCTCGGCAAATCGGCGCGACAGGTTTGATTTGTCCCCGAAGAAAGATCGCACGACATTTCTCGGTCTCGTGTCTCACGCAACGACCGTGGAGCAACATCGATTGTCGCGGTTCCGATGCGCTGATATTGTTACATCGATTCGCGAGGTATGTGTACGTGTGTATGTGTGTTCTCACGTGTGTTTAGTAAAAATATGCGCATGTACCAAGCCGCACCCGTTGATAAACGAACGTTCGTCGCCGTTTCTCGACGAATGGAGCGCCGGTGAATCCGCAGCTTCGAACGGGAACGCGCTTTGACGCCTTTTAGCCTCGGTGATTATGCAATATGTAAAATAGATTATTTGTTTGTTTATTCTTTTGTGGAGAAACGCCTTATACGTTACATTATGACATGCGAATGTACGGTCCTTGTCGGGGCTCGCCGTTCGTTCTTTCCTCGTCCTTACACGGAAAAAGAAGCGCTGTTGTATCAATAGAATTGGTCAACAGCGCCACAAATAGGGTAAATCTTCTTGATTCAATAGCAATATTGTTGAGACTGATACTTGAGTTACTAAAACAATGTATGACGTAGCAATTTCAATATTCCCAGCAAACATCAAGTAACAAAAACATTTCGTAAAAAAGTTATAATTATAATATATATATATATTATATTCATATAATATAATAACATATAACTAATAATATTATAAGTATATTAACATTCATTATAATAATTAATAATTAATATAAATTAAATAAT